TTTAAGTTTATGTGGTCCCTCCTGAATATTACCATTCTACGTAGTATCTTTATTGGCTTTAAGTGACACTCCATTATTTGGTATCCAAGCGAATGCAGAAGTAGGTAAACATACAAGGGAATATCACTTCTTGGTAAATGGACCACTGGGAACAATAGTAATAGTCTCAAAGCGGTCTAATAGCTGTCAAACGTTGGTTTTAGCGAATGTTTAGGGAGGGTGCGGCCATATGAGGCGACTCTGATTAGGGGTATGGTTTTAAAAGGTTAATCATTTCCACATAAAATATTCAACTAGGCAAAGGTGTTTTATGGCGTTTGTGGCTAGGACTCGGGTAACATAAAGTTACAGGAGCGTTCATGAAAGTAACGTTATTTTAAAACTATCAAGGAAAAGGATGCTACTTGGACTGCGACGTATAATTACCACGAATAGGGAAAGTTGCATATTAAAACCTTAATGTACTGTGGGGTTACCTTATAAAAGGACGGTGTAGTCCGCACCAACGCATAAAATCACTCAAGATGAAAACAACAGGCATTCAAGCGTTCATTATTTGTGTGACACTAGTCTTTATTGTAGAAGGTAATGTATTTTATTTTTATGAAGGAGGTGAGATCTAGTGGTCGTTTCATTGGCATCACCAACCTGCAGAATTAACACATATTGATGTATTTGTTCATAACGGCTGCACTGATGTAAGATGTAAGATCTAAACAAAGAATTTGCACTAATACCGTGGTTGACTTCATGAAAAACTGCCGAGAAACGAGTCGCCTAAAATTTAAGAAAACTCATGAAGGATGCAAAGAGCAAAAAGAGGAGATAACTTGGGATTCTTTTTTAAGACGCCACTGATCATGAATTCAACCTTTTTCCTTATTTGGAGGTTAAAAAAACAAATTTTCACCCATGGCAGACTGAAAAGAAGACTGAATTTCGAAGGAGAAGTTATCAAGCATGACAGCTATTTGAATTTTAACATCTTAATGAATTTAGGGAAAAATTAAGCCGTATAATCATTAAAAATGGCATTCAGTAAAATTCTAATTGATTCACCATTCCAGGGCGCGATGACCAGGACACCGTGGCCAAAAAGATACTTGATAAAATACCCAGTTTCCTAACCCCAAAGAAAGTAGTGGTGCCCCGTGGACCGGCAGGTCCCGGTGGCCCCTCTGTAAGAGGACCGGCAGGGCCAAGGGGAACATCAAGGGGGGCAACAACTACCTACGTGACCCCCAATCTGGATTTCCTGTACGTTCTGGACAGCAGCGGTAGTATTGGATCTGAGCATTTTGACAAGGCGAAGAAAGGGATACAGGTAAGCTATAGCTTGGTATATAAATAAATAAATAAATAAATAAACTTATTAATTAATTTATCGATAAACTGATATATCATCAAAAAATTATTTACACACTTCAATTATTTATGCAAGAACATTATTGAAAATCGATCCTGGGTGATGCGTTAATGTGCAATAAGAATTTTTCCACGAAAAGATACTATGAAGGAATAAGATGTATGAAATTTGCACATCGGGCATCACAACGAAAGCTACGGAATTTTTTTTGTCAGTGTCCAGATCTTGAAAGGAATTTCAGTAAGATTAATATTAAATGTCGGTTTCCTTAAGTGTCTGTATCTGATATATGCATCACCTGCATTGCGACTGTACATTTAGAAAGTAAATCAAACTATCAGCCCTTACCATCTTATAAACGTTTTTTTTTTTTTTCAAAACACAGGTACAAGTGGACGTAATTGATTTTAAGACGAAGACTACCCCATCAGGAACCCACGTTGGACTGATAGAATTTTCATCTCCGGCCAAAACTCATGTGGAGTTCACTCTACGCCAATATAGTAGTGCAGCGGCCATCAAAGCAGCAGTCGGGAAAATCGACTACGACAATGGTAAGGCAGTAAATATTCGCTTTAAATACGGTATCTTTAAAACAAAACGCTGAGGGCGAATTTTCTAAAATAAATAGTCCCACTGTTAAAATGAAATTTCAAACTAAATGCTAATGTTGACATTTCTGAGGTTTATATTCTAATATGACGTAAACTGTGCAACAAGGTTCAAATAATACTCAAAATAAGATGATGAAATTTTGAATGGTAATTTGTTGAAAAACGGCTGCAAAGTAATCTTTTTTTTTTTTTAATTACATGTACATTTTTTTCGAAATCTAATTTGTACCTTATTTGTATCCGTATATTAGGCGGTTCCACAGCTACGGCTGATGCACTGAGATTGGCCAAGAAACATTTTGATCAATATGGAGTGAGGGAAAATGTGAAAGTAGCGTGGGTCATAACTGACGGGCAGTCAAACAGAGGCGGGAATCCAAAAATCCCAGCAGACGAGCTGAAGAAGAATGGTAAGTGGTTAATTCACTATCAACACGCAGTATGACATTCACATAAGTACAGTAGTAGCTTGATAAATAATCATTCACTGGGACATGCAAGTGTGTCACTTTCACCTAACAATTTTACTGATCTCGCGAGACTTAAAATTTTTCTAGAGAAGTGATCTACGTTTTCTTTATGTTAAGAGTCTTTAATTAGGACATCTTTGAAGTTCAAATAGTTAAATAACTTGAATCCTGACACTCATGCACACATCTTTGACTTGACACTTGTTGGAAATCTAAAACTTCTATTACCCATACTGTTTTTACTGTTTTTCTTAAACGCTTCAAATATGATTCTCTAAAACATATTACTGTGACCGCATTCAGATTCACACATCGTACTATCTGGGTCGGTCCAACTTTGAGGGGGATTCTCGCTTAAGTACAGTTAGTGGAATCAGCTTAATTGTATGACGCGCCTACTCCAGCAGCTAGGGGGTACATGTAATCAGCTATCGCGTGCTGATTAAGCTGATTCCATTGATTGCAATTTAGCAGGAATTCCCTGCTAAGTTCTAGCTAGTACTGGCACGATGTGTGAATCTGAACGCACCCTACATCGAAAAAAATAATAATAAAATAGAAAAATTCAAGTCTAAAATGGGAATAATTTCTCTTTTACAAAAGAGGCACAATGCGTTCTTAAACTGGCTTAGGTGCTATCTCGCCTTTGCATTTTAATAATAACACTTAATATTGGAGATTGAAATAAATCTCTTTCTACTTTATTTCAGGAGTAGAAATTTGCGTTGTTGGCATAGGGAACAATATAAACTGGAAGGAAATAAAAGATATTGCAGCGTACGACTGTATCTTCGACATTGAATCGTACGAAGCTTTGCTGGGCATCAACGAGAGAACGCTGGAATTGGCGAGGGCTGAGGCTGCTTCAAAAGCAAGAGCTCAAGCTAAGGCAAGAGCGATGGCAAGAGCGGCTGCAGCAGCTAAAGCTAGAGCGTTAGCGAGAGGAAGAGCGTTGGCCAAGGCCAGAGCCGCGATGGCGCAAGCTAGAGCAAGGGCAATGGCAGGACGGCACTAGTGTAACTCTACGTGGTGATAAATCAAACTGAAGATAAATCTTGCAAATCGTCGGAATTAAATTCCACAAAATGAACTCAGTCTTTTCCTTTTCATAATGATAAAATTTTTATCCAGTTGGACTAAATTCATTCAAAGGTTATGTGACAAGATCAATGGTTTAGTTTTGTTTTGTCTTGTCCGATTTCAATGTACAATCGTAGACTGACGTTTAAATAAATAAAATTAAAACATTTAGTTTGAAGAATATAAGAGACACTCTTCACGCCAATAATAAAGCCAGTTTTTAAACTTTTTTACAAAGCATTTGTATGTTTTTACTTGTCAAAGAGACTCAGTGATGTCTTCTGTTCAGTGATTGAGGCAATGCGTTCTTAAACTGGCTGTCCATTTTTTTTT